TTTCGACATCTCTGTTCATGTTACGGAGAAACTATCAGATAATTCGGACCTTAACAGTAATTATGTCCCTAAAGACCCATCAGACTTTGATTCGTCTAATTTGTCGAGTAAAGTCGAATCTGTAAGGGAGGAGAAACAACGTTGTAGAAAGCGTAAAGCAAGTTATAAAAAAAAATAGCCAGAAAGCGTGCGAAAAACAGAATGCAGTGGATCGATGTACAAGCTAAAAGAGAGCGGAACTTGGGGCTAAAGCACAAAAATCGTAAAGGTAACGTTATTCCAGCAAAGGAAATGAAGAATCCATGTAAAGAGGGCTGCAGGAATAAATGTCGCGAAAAAATAAGTGAACAAAGCAGAAAAGAAGATACGAGACAGTGGGATTATATAGCCAGGCGTGTTAAAGCCATAGACAAAAAACAGATTAAAAAAAAGGGGGAATCAAGGTGGAATTTTTCTCGAAAATACAATATTATTCTTAAAAATAATGAAATACTAGTTTGCAAAACTATGTTCCTTAATACTTTTGGAATATCAGAACAATGGGTTACAACAGCTTTAGATAAAATTTTAAAAACAGGATTTGTAGAAGAAGATAAACGAGGAAAGCATACTAGAAGAGTGAATAAAATTAACAATGAGATAATCAACAGTATTAAACAACATAGAGATGGGGTAATCGAAACGACTATCTTTCCTTTAGCTTCCAGCGCAAGCGTGCCAAGGCTTTAATTGCTGCTGATTATCGCACTTATCTGAATCGCGTTCAGAGTAACTTGATTGATTGCCCATCTAGTTTGTGGTCTTTTGTTAAAAGTAAAAGACGCGGTGGCGGCGGTATTCCGTCTCGAATGGAGCTGAACGGTGAAGTGGCGGATGACGGGAAGCGTATAACTGAACTTTTCTCTCAGTTTTTTAGCTCTGTTTATATCGACGGTTGCCTGAATACCTCTCACAAGCGAAATGTTATTTACCAATCGCAGCCGTGGTTCTCTGAACGTGATGTCTCTCACCTTCTGACACAAGTCGACCATAAATTGGGCCCTGGCCCCGATGGCTTGCCGGGACACTTTATTGCTAAATGTGCAGGGGAGTTAGCAACTCCTCTATTCATTATCTTCAGCCGCTCCATTGAAAATTCAGTCTTTCCCTCTGAATGGAAAAAAGCCTTCATAACTCCAGTCTTTAAATCGGGTAGCAGACATTTTGTGTGCAACTATCGTCCAATTTCCCTATTATCCATTGTTTCGAAGGTCTTTGAAAAATTAATTTATGACAACTTATATAGCTATCTTCGACCTGCTATTATCCCTCAACAACACGGTTTTTTGCGTGGGCGATCAGTTGAGACGAATCTGGTTGCGTTTGTTCAATACATTCAGGATTCTATGAATGATAACTCTCAGGTGGATGCTATCTACACCGATCTGACAAAAGCTTTTGACAAGCTTCACCATAACATTCTTATGGATAAGCTGAACAAGTTTAACCTATCTAACGGGCTGTCTCTATGGATTTCGTCCTATATATCTAAGAGATTTCAAGCAGTGAAAGTAAATAATTTCATATCTAGTTTTACTCCTGTTACATCTGGTGTACCTCAAGGTAGCCATCTTGGACCTATTTTATTTCTAGCCTATATAAATGATGTTTCTGAGTGCTTTCATTATTCGAATTTTTCTCTTTTCGCTGATGACTGTAAAATTTTTGCTAGCATCAGGTCTGCTTCTGACTGTATTCGGTTGCAAGATGACATTGACAGATTTGATTCTTATTGCTCACAAAATTACTTATTTCTAAATCCTGATAAGTGTTGTCAGATCACGTTCAGTAGAAAGAGATATAATGTTAACTTCAAATATATGATAGGTCCGCATTATCTTACTCAATCCTCTTCAGTTAAAGATCTTGGCGTTGTTCTGGATTCTAGACTACTCTATCGCGATCATATTACTTCTATCGTTTCTGAAGCTACTAAGCGCCTAGGATTTATCATTAGGATTTCTCGTCCATTTACAAACGTCCGCTGCATTACTTCTTTATATATGGCATACGTTGCTAGCGGTTTAAATTTCGCTTCAGTAGTATGGAGTCCTGCCTATAATATTTACATCGACCTTATTGAGGGCCTACAGAGAACATTTATCCGTTATCTTGCTCACAAATTTTATCTTCCGTACTGCCCTTATTCCCAAAGATGCCGGGTGTTTGGTCTAAGATCTCTCTGTGGCCGTCGACACAGTACGGACCTATTGTTCCTGTTCAAACTAGTTAATGGAGTTCTCGACGCTCCGGTTCTTTTAGAGCAGATTCACTTTAATGTTCCTTCTTATGCTACTCGATCACCATTTTTGTTCAGACTACCTGCTTCTGGATCTAGTGCGCATGCCGGTTCACCTCTGTTGAGACTGATGCACACTTGCAATGTTTATTGTTTCAATGTTGATTTCTTTTGTAATTCAATGATGTCGTTTAAAAAATCCGTTTTAACTTTAAGTATTTGTCATTAGTTTTTTCTTTGTAAAATTAATTTACTCGATCGAAACACATTCGTTTACCATATTTATATTGATTTCTTGCGGGTGGTGGGGCAGAAAAGAAAAGCAACATAAATTTGTCCTTTCTTATGGTCCTTATTATTCTGTTTTTCTATCCGCGTAATATCGATGATTATGTGGACCAATCCAGTCTCTGTGTTTATTTTCTTTTCTGCTTCGTGCTTGCTGATTTAATTCCATTTTTTTTTTATTGTTTCATGCTTTTGATAAATTTTTTAGATTTTTTTTGTTCTTTCTTATGTAGTCTGTTTTCTTTTCTTTTATATTATTGTAGTGGACACTTTTTTGGGATTTTTTCCTGTACGTGTCCCGAATATGAATAAATAAATAAATAAATAAATATTGAACTTTTTCCCGTAATTCCTTCTCATTACACCAGAAAAACTGAATTAATAACTTAACATATCAATAATGCATAGACTGTACTTGGAATATACGCAACGGAATAATTTTACGCAGACTGCTACTCTTAGACAATACAGAGATATCTTTAATACACAATATAATATTAGACTTTTTAAACCTAAAAAGGATCAATGCAACATTTGTGCAATCTATGGAGCAGCGACTCCAGAAGATAAGTCAAAAATGCAAGAAAAATATGAGAAATACAAAGCTGATAAGGAAGCCGCTAGATCCTTAAAAGATTTGGATAAAGAAGCAGCAAAAAATGATAAATCCGTATATGCTTCTTGTTTTGACTTACAAAAAGTTTTAGTGGCACCTCAATCTGCAGTGAGCCAATTTTATTACAAAAGTAAACTAGCTACGTACAATTTTACGATTTATGACATGGGAAATAATGAATGATACTGCTACGTCCCAACGAAATAAGTAGTGCGATTCTACATTTCTTAAAAACGCAAAAAGATAAAGGAGTGACGAAAGTTATTCTGTATTCCGATAACTGCGGAGGTCAAAACCGAAATCGTTTTATTTTTTCAATGTTTTCTTATGCCTCTATGTCTCTCAATCTGGAAATAATCCATCGTTTTCTTGAAGTAGGACATACGCAGAACGAAGGAGATAGCATGCACTCTGTTATTGAGCACGCAAAAAAACATCAACCTGCTATTTATACTCCAGACCAGTGGGTTATGTTAATTCGTATGGCAAAAGTTAGGGGACGGCCGTATATTGTAAAGGAAATGTCCCAGAATGATTTTTTTAGTTTTAAAGAAAAAGTAAAGTTGGAGAATTGGAAAAAAGACATAGAAGGAAAAAAATTAAAAATAAATCAAATAAAAGAGCTTCATTTTTTACCAACGTGCCCTAACGAAATAAAATTTAAGTATGGATATAGTGAAGAATTTAAGAGTATACAGTTAAAAGTATGTAAGCGTAGGAATATTAAAACTAGCAATATGGGCTATCGAAAAAATCTTCCTTTATTGTATTCATCTTCGCTATTGATTGTAAAAAGTTGAAAGGGCTACTAGAATTATGTAAAATGAACGCCATACCAAAAATGTATCATAATTATATTATTCCCTATTGCCTAAAGAAGAAAAGGAAAAGAAAAAAAAAAAAAGGAAAGAGTTTTACTGTTCAAAACCTTTAAACGCTTATATCTCAGTTCTACCAAAAATGACTTACAATAGTCTTCGTTGCATAGGTCGATATGATATATATTTAGTCGGGTGATAAAAATTTTGAGATAAAAGCATTTGAAATTTCGTTACGTTTTCATCTTAAGAGGGTATACCACCTAACAAAGGGGAATTACCCCTTTGTTCGATAGAAGTCGGATAAAGTTTTCTACGAAAATGAGTTTTTGTGATGCTATTGTTTATTCAGGTACCCGAAAGCCTACTTCAATAGCGTTTTTGAAAAAAGATATTTTATGTTTTTTTTAACTTTTTTGTACAACAAGGTCAAAATACCTGCATATACAGTGGATAAAAAAATGAAACAAAAAGTGGATACAGAAATCTTAGAATTTCCGGTGAGGTATGTTACAAAAATCAATTTTTTAGGCAGAAAAACATTTTGCAAATGTTTTCGGTCAATGGATTCTCATTCTAGACAGTATAAAGAACACTTTTAGGCAAAAACAAAATCGATTTTTTTCATTTCAAAGGTGGCATTACCCCCTTAATACTAAAAACGTCAAAACGTGGGTTGCAGCTTAAATAATTGAGGGAGGGTTTATTTACGCTGAAACTTTCCTCTTTAAAATGGTATATGATGTATATGTAGTTAGGTTATAAAAATTTTGAGATAAAAATATTTGAAATTTCGTTGCGTTTTCATCGTAATATTGAAAACATTAAAATGCGGATTGCAACTTAAAATGTTGTGGGAGGGTTGTTTATGAAAATTAATAAAAGACTTTGACGTTAAATTAAAGCTGATACTTTCCTTTTTAAAATGGTATATGATATATATGTAGTTGAGTTATAAAAATTTTGAGATAAAATAACTTGAAATTTCATTGCTGTTGAGTTAGTAACATTAATATTTTTAAGTTTTGAGTACTGTTGGGTTGGTAGTATTGAAAACGGTGCACATTGCACACAACACGAAGGGGTGTCATGGCGAAGACGCGAGTTAACGGTCATGGCATGTAAAGACTTAATCGTTTATACTTGAATATATTAAAATACAGCAGAAACTAAAAAGTGGATTTATTCCCCAAAAACATTGGTCCTTCGAGCATGGATTAGTAACAGTGAAGACATTAAAAATAAAAAAAAAATTCGTGAATTGCATCATCTTGGCTGGGGTCCGGCGATCGGAACTTGGTTCTTCTCTTCGACAACGACACGAGGTCAACTCATCGGCGGCGGTCACTGGTGGGTTCCTGAAAGAAAACACAAAACGTAAACTAAGTCCTTTTTTATTTTTATCCTTTTTCGTGAGTATTGCTTCACAAAATGGAGGAACTCAAACCTCTGTTGGCAAAAAAGAAACTGCTCAAGGCACAATTAACGCGTTTCGGGACGTTTCTCGAAAAAATTACAACGGAAAAATTAAACGAATTGAAAATCAGATTACAAAACATTAAAGAGATTTTGCATGAGTTTAACAAAATACAAAACGCGATCGATTTACTAAACAAAGACGACGAGTATAATGACGAATACGAAATATTTGAAACAAAATATTATGAATTAATAGCAGAGGCGACAACATTTATTCAAGAGCGAGATAATGACACCGTATGTAAAAGCGCTATAAACGATGAAACGACCGGTTCGGCGGGGGCTGCGACGGCTTATGCACCGAGCGACGGTTATTTTCATAAAAATGTTAAACTTCCTACGTTGGATTTGCCTAAATTTTACGGAGATTATGATCAATGGATATATTTTCACGATACTTTTAAATCGCTCGTTGACAATGACAACTATGTAGATGACATCAATAAATTTCATTATTTATTTAGTTGCTTAAAAGGTGAAGCAGCGAATATCATTCAATCTCTTGAAATCACAAAGGAAAATTACAAAATTGCTTGGGATATGTTGCGTCAAAGATACGAAAATAAGGCGGTTATAGTAAAAACACACGTTAAGGCTTTGTTTGAATTACCGATGGTTACAAAAGAAGCTCATCAAAACTTAAGACGTTTAATTGATAGTTATAACAGGCACACTCGTTCTTTAAAGGCCTTAGGTGAACCAGTAGAGCACTGGAGCACGTTGCTTACACATTTGATTTTTAAGAAATTGGATGACGCTTCTAAAATGAAATGGGAGGAGCACGCGGGGCAGACATTTAATAATGATGTACCAAACATAAAAAGTATGATAGATTTTCTTACAAATAGATGCAGTATTCTGGAAACCATAGAAGGTCATAACAAAACGAATAAACATATAGGACAAAAGAAGAATGAGCGTACTATTGCAAATTTAGCCACGAACAACAAAACATGCGTTTTTTGTGAATCGGGCGATCATTTCATTTACGGTTGTAATAAATTCAAAGCATTAACTACAAGCAAAAGAGTTGAGGAAGTTAAAAAACTCAGGCTTTGCTTAAATTGCCTTCGTTCGGGACATTTCTCGATGGATTGCAAATCTTTGTCCACATGTAAGGCTTGTAAGCAAAAACATAACANAAAAAAAAATTCGTGAATTGCATCATCTTGGCTGGGGTCCGGCGATCGGAACTTGGTTCTTCTCTTCGACAACGACACGAGGTCAACTCATCGGCGGCGGTCACTGGTGGGTTCCTGAAAGAAAACACAAAACGTAAACTAAGTCCTTTTTTATTTTTATCCTTTTTCGTGAGTATTGCTTCACAAAATGGAGGAACTCAAACCTCTGTTGGCAAAAAAGAAACTGCTCAAGGCACAATTAACGCGTTTCGGGACGTTTCTCGAAAAAATTACAACGGAAAAATTAAACGAATTGAAAATCAGATTACAAAACATTAAAGAGATTTTGCATGAGTTTAACAAAATACAAAACGCGATCGATTTACTAAACAAAGACGACGAGTATAATGACGAATACGAAATATTTGAAACAAAATATTATGAATTAATAGCAGAGGCGACAACATTTATTCAAGAGCGAGATAATGACACCGTATGTAAAAGCGCTATAAACGATGAAACGACCGGTTCGGCGGGGGCTGCGACGGCTTATGCACCGAGCGACGGTTATTTTCATAAAAATGTTAAACTTCCTACGTTGGATTTGCCTAAATTTTACGGAGATTATGATCAATGGATATATTTTCACGATACTTTTAAATCGCTCGTTGACAATGACAACTATGTAGATGACATCAATAAATTTCATTATTTATTTAGTTGCTTAAAAGGTGAAGCAGCGAATATCATTCAATCTCTTGAAATCACAAAGGAAAATTACAAAATTGCTTGGGATATGTTGCGTCAAAGATACGAAAATAAGGCGGTTATAGTAAAAACACACGTTAAGGCTTTGTTTGAATTACCGATGGTTACAAAAGAAGCTCATCAAAACTTAAGACGTTTAATTGATAGTTATAACAGGCACACTCGTTCTTTAAAGGCCTTAGGTGAACCAGTAGAGCACTGGAGCACGTTGCTTACACATTTGATTTTTAAGAAATTGGATGACGCTTCTAAAATGAAATGGGAGGAGCACGCGGGGCAGACATTTAATAATGATGTACCAAACATAAAAAGTATGATAGATTTTCTTACAAATAGATGCAGTATTCTGGAAACCATAGAAGGTCATAACAAAACGAATAAACATATAGGACAAAAGAAGAATGAGCGTACTATTACAAATTTAGCTACGAACAACAAAACATGCGTTTTTTGTGAATCGGGCGATCATTTCATTTACGGTTGTAATAAATTCAAAGCATTAACTACAAGCAAAAGAGTTGAGGAAGTTAAAAAACTCAGGCTTTGCTTAAATTGCCTTCGTTCGGGACATTTCTCGATGGATTGCAAATCTTTGTCCACATGTAAGGCTTGTAAGCAAAAACATAACACGCTTTTGCATTATGATACACAAACAAATACACACACAACTGAAAAACGTGTTACAACCGCACATACCATGAAAGCATTGGAGAATACTTCGATAATTTTAGCAACCGCGCAGGTTCACATCAAAGATGCGACTGGAAAATGGTGTGAGGCTAGGGCACTTTTAGATTCTGGCTCGCAGTCGAATTTTATGACAATGAAGCTTGTAGAAAAACTGCAATTACATACTTACAATTTAAACGTACCGGTAACAGGTATTAGTCAATGCAACCTTAATGTTAAGTATGGAACGAATACCAAGATTAAGTCTATATATAACTCATACACCATTGATTTATCATTTTTGGTTATAAGAGATATAACTGATAACTTGCCAAATGTTCCAATAAACATCAAAGAATTAGAAATACCGCGACACATTAGGTTAGCTGATCCGAAATTCCATCAACCAGGAGAAATAGATATTTTAATAGGCGCTGGCTTATTCGCTGAATTGTTGTCTATGGGTCAAATTAAACTCGGAATTGGTTTACCTGTTCTACAGAAATCAACACTGGGATGGATCGTATCCGGGCCTATGAGTACAAATTTAAGGCAAAAGGTGCGCAGCAACGTTTGTATAAATAACTGCGAGATTCAAAGGGCCTTGGAAAAATTTTGGAAGGTTGAAGAGTGTGCGGCACAAATGGTTTTTTCTGCGGAGGAAAAATATTGTGAGAATCTGTATCAACAGACGACCACAAGGGACAACAATGGACATTTTGTGGTACAACTGCCAACGAAAGATAATATTAGCGAATTAGGAACATCGTTTGAAACTGCTGAAGCAAGATTT